TAGAGGGAACATACCTCAAGATAATAAAGGCCATGAATGGCAAAGCCATAGCTAACAATGTACTCAACAGAAAAAGCTGAAAGCCTTTCCTCTAAGACTAGGAACAAGACAAGGCTGCCCACTCTCACCAGTTTTCTTCAACAGTTTTGGAAGTCCTAGACTCAGCAATCAGGAAAAAAGAAATAAAAGGAATCTAAATTGGAAAGGAAGAAATAAAACTGCCACTGTTTGCTGATGACATGATATTATACATAGAAAACCCTAAAGATGCCACCAGAAAACTACTGAATTCATCGGTGACCGCTAGCAAAGTTGCAGGATACCAAATTAACATACCAAAATCTGCTGCATTTCTATACATTAACAATGAACTAACTATTGAAAGAGAAATTAAGGAAACAATCTCATTTGCCATCGCATCAAAAGAATAAAGTAACTAGGAATAAACCTACCTAAGAAGGCAAAAGATCTGTACTCAGAAAACTGTAAATCACTGATGAAAGAAACTGAAGATGACACAAACAGATGGAAAGATACGGCACGTTCTGGGATTGGAAGAATCAGTATTTTTTAAATAACCACACTACCCAAAGGCAATCCACAGGTTCAGTGCAGTCCCTATCAAAATATCAATGGCATTTTTCACAGAACTAGAAAAAATAATTTTAAAATTTGTAGGGAAACACAAAAGACCCCAGACAGCCAAAACAATTGTGAGAATGAAGAGCAGAGCTCGAGGAATCACACTCCCTGAATTCAGACTATGCTCTTAATGCTACAGTAATCAAAGCAGTATGTATTGGCACACAGACAGACACACAGATCCGTGGAACAGGACAGAGAGCCCAGAAGAAAACCCACACACTTACTGTCAATTAGTCCACAACAAAGGAGGCAAGAGTATACAGCGGAGAAAAGACAGTCCCTTCCATAAGTGGTGCTGGGAAAACTGGACAGCTACATGTAGAAGACTGAAATTAGAACCACCTCTAACACCATATACAAAAATTAACTCAAAATGGATTAAAGACCTAAATGTTAGACGGGATACTACAAAACTCCTAGAAGAAAATATACACAGTACACTCTTTGATATAAATCACAGCAATTTTTTTTTTCAGATCTATCTCCTAAAGCAAAGGAAATAAAAGCAAAAATAAACAAATGGGACCTAATTAAACTTGAAAGCTTTTGCAAAGCAAAGCAAACCATCAACAAAATAAAAAGGCAACCCACTGAATGGGAGAAAATATGTGCAAATGATATGACCGATAAGGGATTCATATCCAACATATATAAACAACTTATACAGATCAAAAACTAACAACTCACCAGACTGAAAAATGGTCAGAAGAACTAAATAGACATTCCTCCCAGAGAGGAAATGCAGATGGCCAACGGGCACGTGAAAAGGCGCTCAACGTTACTAATCATCAGGGGAATGCAAATCAAAACCACAGTGAGTTACCACCTCCCACCTGTCAGAATGGCTATCATCAAAAAGAACATAAATAACAAATGCTGGGGAGGATGTGGAGAAAAGGAACCCTCAAACACTGCTGGTGGGAATGTAAACTGGTGCAGCCACTACAGAAAACAGTATGGAGGTTTCTTTAAAAACTAAAGACAGAACTACCATATGGCCGTGCAATTCCACCCCGAGGTATAAATCCAAAGAAGACAGAAAACACTAATTTGGAAAGCTACATGCACCCCAACGTTCACAGCAGCATTATTTGTAACAGCCAAGACACTGAAGCAACCTAACTGCCCATCAACAGATGAACGGATAAAGAAGAGATGGTGTATGTATGTATGTGTGTGTATATATATATATATATATGTGTGTATATATATATATATATATATAATGGATTACTATTCAACCATAAAAAAGAATGAAATTTTGCCATATGCATCAATACGGGTGGACTTGGAGGGCATTATACTAAGTGAAGTAAGTCATATAGAGAAAGACAAATACAGTATATCATTTATATGTGAAATAAAAAAAAAGAATACAACAAACTAGTGAATGTAACAAAAAGAAGCCAACTCACAGATACAGAAAACAAACCATTGGTTACCAGTGGGGAGAAGGATAGGGGAGTAGGGGGCACAAACTATTAGGTATAAAATAAACTACAAGGATATATTGTACAACATGGCGAATATAGCCAATATCTTATAATAACTATAAAAGGAGTATAACCATTAAAAATCAAAAATCACTATATCATACATCTTTAACTTAAATAACATTGTAATAGCTACCACACTTCAATTAAAAAAAAAGGCAACAGACAAAATAGCAATGAAAATGGAGAAAAGTCAAGTAGGACGGCAGGAGACTAGGTACATACACTAATTTCTCATTCATGGACTGAGTAAAAAGGCTCAGTTTATTCTCTTCAGTTGGTTGACAGAAAAAGTAGTTTTATCATATAGTTTAGAGATTAAACTGGTCACAAGTAGATAAGATGTTTCCAAATTGACTATTAGCAGGAAGCAAATGTCAAAACAAAGGAAAAAAAAAAGGAAAGAGGAAAACCTAAAAGAGCAAAAGATAAATATAAGAAAAACACATATGCAATAAAATAACAAAAACGAGATCAAATGCATCTATTTGTGTGATTTTACTTTGCATTTTCTTCAACAACAAATGGGGAAAACATGTCAGATTTAACAGTGAAGAAACATAAAAGAAGAAAAGAGCTCCTCCCTAATAGCTGCAGAAAACATAAAATCTAGGAATCAAGAATGTGCAGCACAAACATAACTAAATCCCTTCTGAGGCAAAACGTAGACAAACTGATATACTCACCACATTTCTGGACAGGAAGACTCCTGACGAGCTCAGTTCTCTGAGTATCACTGTGGTTGCAGTAAATACTCCAGCAAGACTTCGGCTGGGGAAGTAGGGAAAGGCCGCGAGAGGACTTGGCCAAATGATTCTAAAGTGCTTTGGAGGGTTAAACATGGCAGAATGGTCAGAAAAACTCAAGAGAACACAAAAGGATTAGCCCCAGTAGATACTAAAAGTTCTGCAGTGCAACAATAATGAGAAGTATTCAAATAATTAAAATAATTAAAAGTATTAGCAGATACAAACTACTATATAAAATAAAGTTCCATATATATATAGTCCCATATATAGATACACACACAAACATATATCTGAGTCACTATGCTGTACACCAGAAACTAACACAACATTGTAAATTAACTATACTTCAATTTAACCAAAAAAAGTATTCTACTGGCATAGAAGTAGACAGATCAATGGAATGCCAACAGTGCAGAAATAAACCTAAGTCTTAAGGGAACGATAATGGTACCATTTCAAATCAGCAGAGAAAAATCAATCAATGGATGAAGCTGGCCTACGTGGCTAGCAATTTTGAAAATTAAAAGACTTTAGAGTACAATTAGATGTCTTATTAAACAATTTATTAAATAAAACAATTCCAGACAGACCAGATGAATTTCTTTCATGTAAAAGTGAAAAAAAAACCAAACTGCCTTAGTACAGCAAGTGTCATGAAAAATAAAGTTAATGGACAACCAAGGGAAAATGTTTTCAATACATGACAAACAGCTAATATCCCAATATACACTGAGCTCTTAGAAATTATTATGAAAGATAAACAGCAAAATAGGCAACGGCTGTGAATATCAGCTCGTAGAAGAAACACAGTCATTCCTAAGTATAAGAAAAAGTGCCCAACCTCATTAATAAATGCATATAAACAAAACAGTTCCCACCTCAGATTAGCAAAAAAAAATTTTTTTTTAACAATACAGTGATGTAGAGAAAAACAAATAACGCAAATACCATTAGATCCTACTGGTACCTGACGCAGTTTTCTAAAAAGGAAACATGGCTGTATTTACTCAGTTTCCACTATTTGATCCTGAAATTCCAACTTCTAGGAACCCGTCTCCAAAAACGCCACCCCACATCAGCAAAGTTATGTCCAAGACTGTTCACTGCGGCATCGTTTAGGATAGCAGCAAAGTGGAAAAACCACATGTCCGTCAACGGGAGAATGGCTGAGTACGTAAATTATGACACACACATCCGATGCGACATTCTGCCTCTAAAAAGAATGAAGCAAATCTGTAAATGCTGAAATGAAAAGGGGTCCCTACTGTTAAGTCAGAGAAGCAGACTGCAAAATGTCAGTCCTACTCTGCCTTCACTTTTCTCAATCTATTTACACAGGTAGGATACACAGGTGTAGAAGACACTGGGAACACCTGGGCACACTTGTGCAGGGGTTACCTCTGGGGGGGGCAGGCCTTGTGAGGAAGAGGGAACAGTTCACCTTTTTTCATACAGGTATGTATGATTTAAATTTATTGAGAATTAGTTATAAATTTTATAAAAATTTATAAAGTTATAAATTTTATAAAGAGATGAAAGAAAGCTGCAGTGGTACCTCCATCAGGTTTTAATTATTACCTGATGGGGAACTTCCTCTCTCTGGACCACAAGAAACTCCTAGGAGGAACATTCCTGTAAAGTGGCGGTGCTCAGGGCCGCTCCCCTCTCTGCAGCAGGCGCTGAGAACCCACTGCAGGCTGCCGTGGTCCAGGCTGCAGGGAAGCTGGATTCCCGCCGGCCGCGAGGGGAGGGATCAGGGTCTGCTCGACAACATGGAGTTGGTAAGGAAAAGAGGTTTTCCCTGCTGAAGCTTAGCCTGGAGTGTCTCCAAACAAGGAGAGTCCTGCGCAGAACGATCATTATGCACAGAAGGGATACCAGACACTAGACAGAAGACTCGAAACAGACGCATCCTCCTGCCAGGGAGGGGCACCCCGCTCCCGCAGCTGCTCTCCACCACAGACACCTTCCTTCCGCCCTTGCACCTTCTGGCTCTTGTCCTTTGAGGGCACCATATCCGGAACGCAGCTGCAGGCTAGAGAGGCCTTCCACGCCAAGACCAGGCTCCACCAGCACCTTGACATCCTCCCCACCGACAGAGGAAAACACCAACTTGAGAGACTACTGTCTTTTTTTGTTTATTATTAGCTTTCATCATCCAGGTTTGCTCAGAACATCACAGGAGGCATGAAGGGAAAAATAACTGCATTTTTTCAACGCAATCTGTCCAAAGTATATTATAATATATGAAACCGTAACATTAGCTCCTAGGGAAGGAAAAAGCATTCAAAAATTAAGTTTGCTATTAAGGTTCAAGATTAAGACCAACAACATCCAAGTAAACCACGTGTAAGGTTTAAGTGCAAAGCGCGTTTTCATTCCAATGAGTTTACAGAAATGCTGGAGTGAGGTGTATGATTTGAAATAGTCAAATCCTTGAAGGTTTGTGCGCTAGTACTGGTACAAAAAGGAAAATGTCGGCATAGTTTCAGTGGCTTTCAATTTCTTGTTTGATCTCGGAAATGTACGGATGATCTTTGCCGTGGGCTACTTCCATGATGGCGATGGCCTGGGAGAGACAGACAAAGTGGGGGTGAGAGCCGGAGCCAGCCCCCCACCCACCGGTGAATTCTGGATGAACTTCTTAGCTTGAAGGCAAGGATGTAAACTGGCTTTCAGAGCCTGTATTCTCCAGAGTCTGGCTTTTTTATTTTATTTTTTAAAGGACAAGATTATTTCATATCCAACTAGTCACTCAGTCTCTACTGCTGAGTAAAGCATTCTTCAGTAGCTGAAGAAATAACAAAGAAACTAACTTAGGGGCAAGCCTTTTTGATTCTAGTTTACATTGCTAATGTGTAAGTCATTACTAACGTCAGGATGTAACTAAAGCATTTTTCTCTTTCGAAAAGTATATCCTTACCTCTTAATACATATTCTTTAAAAGCTCAAAAATAGGCACACATTTCCTATTTTCCTTAAAAATAAGCACAAGGAATCCAGAATGAACGGATTACTACGGTTCTTTTAAGTGGAAGAGTTTCCAGTGGCTCCATTATTTTCTAGCTGTGTGACCCTGGGCAGTTTACTTAACTACTCTGTGCCTCGTTTTTCCACATCTGTAAAATAGGAGTAATACATACCTCTCAGAGTTGTTAATACACATGAAGTGTTTAAAACAGTGCCTGGCATACAGAAGTCTGTATCTGATGTAATCCAAAATCATTTATTTTGCTCTTTTGTATTCAACTACATTATTCACAGAAAAACTTAAATTAGTCCCTCTCCCCCCAAAATGGGGAATTTTTGATGGCCTGTGACTGGGACATCCTATACCATGCTCTTCCTCGATCTCAAACCAATAGGAGTGCAAGCGGTCAAGAACCACTTGTTTCAAATGTCTCCCCCACCCCTCTGCACTCATGCCACAATGCGTGTTCCTTCCTCAGATCGACTCTACCCTTCATGACCTGTGTTTATACCTTACCAGCACTTTGCAATTGTGTCCTAAACCAATTAAATTTCCGTCAACCTCACTAAGGCAATAAATGTAATCTTAGAAGACAAATTCCATGGTTTAAACACAGAAAATTTTAGTCTTAACTCCCACTTCTAGGCTGGCTGGGCCCTGGCCCTTCCACCTGGGATGTGGGACCCCATTCCATCTTCCCATACCGACTATTAGGAAGCTCTGGGGAATCTGGAGGCCTGGGCATCCAGGCCGAGACCACGGCCCCCAACTTTTTACAAACCTTCTCCTACAGAAGTAAAGACGCTGTCCCAAAGATTGTATTTTATCAGCTTTTGGCTCCTATAAAAAGGCAACAACTGTCCTAAAGATCCTATTTTATCAACTGCTGACTCCCATACAAAGAACCATGAGATCCCACACTCAGGATGGTGACGGTGCTGCTGGCAGGCAAGGGTCAGGGCTGGGCCCCTCGCCCACTGGGCCACAGCATGGCTGGCAAACACTGCGGGAGGCCGTGCGGTCCAGGATCCCGGTTCACCCTGCGTGTCAGTCCTGGCTGAGCAGGTGGAGCTGAAGCTTTCAACTTGGAAAGGCCCTGGTTTGAATGAGAGAGTCTACCATGGACCCTGGGAAAGTTACTTAACCTGTTTGAACCTCAAGTTATTCACCAAGAAAGTCTATCTCATTTTTGTGAGAAATAAAAGAAAAAGCCCCCAGGAAGGCCCTGGCATCTAACTGTACTCCGTGGACGCTGTCAATGATCAACTCCATTTTAGAAACTGCAAATGCACAGTTCTCATACTGAGGGCCTCTTCAGCTCCCACTGCCTCGATTTCACCACAATCGGGCACCATGAACGTGTAAATCCTGAAGGGCAGACATTTGGAGAATTCCCATCCGTGGCCTCAGGGGACAACGGCAGTACCCCCTTCCCCACGGCCGCGAGCCCCCTCAGTGAGCACAGCCCTTCTCCCCACAGGAGGATCAGGATGCAAACTTGACCAAGTCTCCATTACTCACTCCTCTGTGGCCCAGCAAACCCACCCCTTCCCACTCCCACGACCCGAAGGCAGCCAAGGGCAGCCCCACCCCCCCACAGCGTCAGGCACCATGTCCACCCGCAGGAAGGGCATGTCAGGAGGCCATGCAGGCACTGGGCAACCTAGCCTCGCACCACGTACGCACCTTCTTCAGGGCTTTCTCTCCAGCAGCTCTGTTCTCCAGGCCCAGGTACAGTCTTCCCAGCTTCAGCCACATGGAGGCCACATTGAGGGAGTACAGAGGGTAATGCTTACTGGAAGCAGAGAACACACAACAGGCCGCCTTGTCAAAGGCTGCAGGGAGCCCACAGGCCAGGCGCAGGGAGCCTGCGGCCGCCAAGCCAATGACCACACCCTTGACAGCAGCCGGCGTCTCTCTGCAGGCCCCGGCCAGCACTGGGTGCAGAGTGTGGACGGTGCAACCCTGTCCAATCATTGTGGATTCACCTCATTTCATACTTTGTGTGTGTCTGGAAAACCACACACACACAAAAAAACGTAGAAACTATTGGGGAAATCCTACAGAAAAACATGTATAAGCACACCATTCAATTCCAGCCCCAGATTTTTCTGTTCTGGGTGCACCCATCACAGGGCATCAGAAAAACGTCTTTTAAAGTAAATTCCCTTTTTATGAGGACATTAGGCCTATCCCCTCATATTAAAAAGTCAGTATACTTAAAGATACACATACCAATTATGTCCCCAGACCTCACGATCTCAGCTGGCTTAGCACAATGCTAAGCTCTCTGAAGTCAGGGTCACAAGTCCCACTTCTGGGTATTCTTTGTCTAGCGTCTGGCAGAGGGCTTGAATACAGTGGGTATCCTCTCCCTGGTTTTAACTCAAGGCTGACATGGGGCCCACCTAGAAAAGAGCCAGCTCCCTAGGAGCAGAGACCAAGAGGCAGCTGGGGAGTGTGTGGTGTGTGTGTGTGTGTGTGTGTGTGCGTGTGTGTCTCTCCTCCCTCCTCTCTCTCTCTCTCTCTCTCTCTCTCTCTCTCTCTCGTGTTTATTTATAGGCTGGTCTGCTCCACCTGCTCTATCCTCGAAGTCCATCCAAAAGAGACACATTCTGAGAGGTGGGTATAGCTCAATGGTAGACTGCATGCCTAGCATGTACAAGGCCCTGGACTGAATTCCCAGTACCTCCACTGAAAAAAGACAGAGAAAGAAAATGCGGAGAGGGAGGGAGGGAGGTATAGCTGAGGGGTAGAATGCATGCTTAATATGCATGAGGGTCCTGGGTTCAATCCCCAGTACCTACATTGAAAAAAAAAGTTAAATAAAATACAAAGCAAAAGAGACACATTCTAGCTGTATTACTGGGCAGGGAGCAGCATGCTGCCGGGAGGATCCTGGGGCCAGCAGCCCAGAGAAGTCCAGTATCAGGCCTCCCTAAGCTAAGGGAGGGGCCCGCCTAGCAAGCCCTGCGGGAAGAACCACCACAAAGCCAAGATTCATTCTCATTCCTTCTCTCTCTCGCCCTACAGATCACAGAGGACTTCCCCACCCATCCCCCATCTCAGAAAGAAGGATAGGCTTCGAGATTATCCCCTCTTTTTCCAGATTTTAGGAGCCGGTTTCCCCGTGGGCTCCCCCTGCTGGCTGACCAGGGCACTGTGGGTTAAGTGAAGGGCCGACTGGGCAGTGGAAATTCAAGCTGGACAGAATCTTAATAGTCCCCAGCTTAGAACGTGAAGGATCACTGAGTGAGGGCTTCTCAAAAGCCCCGGGCTGCTTCTGCACACAGAGATTTCAGGTCCAGTGCCCAGAGGCTGACCCACTTGGTCCTGTAAATGCACAATGTAGTAGGTCTACCAAGACCCCAGGGACCTGACTGAGGCCAGCCTGGCCCTGAAGTGGCTAGTCAGAGCCCCCTTCTGTCACCCACTTTAAGGTTTACTAACCCTCTCAACAGGAGACGTCCCCATGGCCAATATTTATTATGACTACGAGTTAAAATCCAACTGGCTTTACACAGATCTAGAGGACGATGTTAGCCACAGCCAACCCACCAGTCCCAGAGGCTCCTCATTTGCAAACTGAGGCTGCACTTTGAAAAAAAGCAAAAGAAGGGGACGGAAAAGCAGGGTTTCTAAGACCACCACTAACCAATTAATAAGTGCTATTTAACTTGGAAGGCGTGGAAGGGAAAAAACAACTGGCGGGGGGGCTTTTTAATATTGGTCTGAATAACCTACTATGGACAGAGGGCCCTGGGTGGGTCCTGGGAGGGATTCTGCCCCAGCACCCCTGCGTCACCTCAACCTGCCTCCCCAGTGTCTCTTCCGGATGGAGGAACAGGCTGGGCCCAGCTGAAGCACCCTGCGCCCACACTTCCCAATGTGGGTGCAGAAAAGAGGAGGTTGCTCCTGGCACACTCCAACATGGGACGGGCAGGAGACAGAACAGCCAAGGGACACATTCCCAGTCACCATCCCTGCTAAGAAGATGAGATGTCACCTTATCCTGAGGGTTGCAATCACCTGTAGGGCTGGATGATTTTCTGTCCGTACCGCAGGGCTCCCTCCCAGTCCTGCATGTACAGGCAGACGCCCATGGCCTGGTACATCATGTGCAGCATGTACACGTTACTGTCCTCGAACATGCAGCTCATCTTCTCCTGGCTGAGCTCGCAGATCTCCAGCAGCTCACTAGGGGGTGCTCTGGAGTCAAGGAAGCGACAGGTCTGGGCGGTGGGCTGGGAGGCTTCCCAAAGCCCAGGGGCAAGGACTTACTCTTCCGACTACCCCACCCCTACCCTCGCCTTCTGAAAAAGGCAACTACAGAAAACCCAGCAAACGTGAAAGGAGTCACATTTTTCCTGAAGAAAACAACACGGAAAAAACCGGAGACCTCGGATATTACACACAACTAAAGAATTTTAGCCACAGGGAACAGAACCTCCCTTCAGCTGTAAACGTTGATTAGAATCACAAATCTTTAATCTTCTTGTTAAATTTAAATCCTCACTCAAGCTGATCGCTTCAGCTGAAGCATTTTTAAGGAAGAAGTCCCCACCATGGGAAAGTTCCTTTTTTATGCTCAGAAAAGGAAAAAAAAATATGCCTTCCTCCAATTTCCTTTCATGGGTTTTATTTCTCCCTTCAGTATAAATCTAATGCCTTTTCAACACTCCTCAAAAATGTTATAATGCAGCAATTAAGAATATGGATTGTGGTGGCAGACCTGGGGCAAAATTCTGGATCTGCCCTGGTGAACCTTGTGCCATGGGCAAATTACCTACTGTCCCTGAACCTGTCTCCATTTGCTACCCAAGGTGGCAACAGTTCCTTCTCCTGAGAGTCCTTGTGAGGATCAGGCAAGATAACGGAAGTTAAAAAAAACCCTGGTGTGGTGCCCAAAGGAAGATATCCAATCAGTGAGGGTCTTCAAGGAACTGTTCTCACAGTGTGAGACAGTAAGTTTTCTACCACCATGAGCTCCTGACCAAACGAGTCAAACCAGGAGAAATAAAAGATAAGGTCACATCATGAAACTCTGCTGTACTTGACTCCAAGTCATGGATGGCCAGCAAGTCTTAACACATTCCCTAGGAAACACTCTTCAATATTCAGAAATCTTAAAGCCATCCTCCTGCTCCCTCGGCCTGACTCCCCAGCGCCCCCTGCAGGGGATGCACGGTCGTGAAGGATATATTTGTAGTGCTTGGCCCTTCGGAACTCCTCGATGACATTTCGTGCGTATCTGACCATGTCACGGATGGCTTCTGCCTTCGGGGGGTCACTGAGCTTCCGGATTTCCACCTTGGCCTTATCCTGAGGGAAATGTCACAGGTTACTCCCCCAAGGAAACCATGCTGATGGGGAAACCTCTCACACAGCGCGCTTTCCCGTGCAGAGAGAGGCCGCAGCATGCCCGTTCCCAAGTAGCAAAAGAAGGAAAGGACATCAGGCGGTGGATCTGAGAGAAGTTCAACACTCATTACCTGTGTACATAAACAAACAAGAACAGTAATTTTCTAGACATTCCTTATCTAGGCAGGACACCTAGAATGTGCTTGCAATGGGCAGATACGTGGGTTCACACATCCAGGAAATCAAGAGACTGTGAGGCCAGCTGGGGTCCTTCAAGGTCCAGCGACCCCCATTCCCGGGCTCTCAGCTGTCTGCCTGCAATCCCTCAACAGACAGAGTTTGCCCTAACAAAGTAACTGCCCTACGCAACGCCTAATCTCACAGCAGCTCAGGCTGTTTCAGCCCACCTTATCACTCATAAACCCCACTGCCCCTCACAGACCCTACACTTCTTACCTCACCTACAACCAACCAGAGACTTGTGCACAAGCTGACCAGGCACCTTGTGGCCCTACCTGGTAAAAGACCCCCACACCTGGCCCCCGGGGCTCACACAGGCCCCTCTCATCCGTGTGACCGCTGTTGTCTACAGCAGCGTCACCTGATAAGCTCCTTCTCTATTCTCACCCTGTGCCTTCGGTAAATTCTTTTAACGCCCGTGACAGCGGCCCGCCCGCCTGTGTCCCCCGACAGAGACTCGGAGGGTGGCACTGACAAAATAATTTGGGTGGCACCAGAGGGAATTCTGTGGATTCTGGGGAACAGGCTGGAAAGCCTGAAAATGTTTCTCGTGTGCTTCCCCTTCCCTCTGTTCTGAGCAGCCATTTCTCATCAAGAAACAGCCATCTGGCAAATCCTTCTCTTATCTGTACCATGCGATGGAAACGTTTTCATCAGCTCTGAGGATGGGGCTTGAACAGGGATTCAATCTACCTGGGTTCCCCTGGGCTGTGTTAGGCAGGCTTAAAGGCTCAAAAATACAACAGGAGGAGACACCCCCAGTCAGACCGGCTGGCTGGCTGGGCGGAGCCAGCGCTTGTGCTGGGCGGGGAGCTCACCTTGTCTTTGGTGGTGCACTCCCGGCACTCACAGGTGAAGAAGTAAGAATCTCTCAGCCGGTCATTCCTGTCTTCCGTCGGGTACAGCAGGTCAATGTAGCTGGTAAAAACCTAAGGAGGGGGGTCAAGAAGTTGAAACTATGGTTTGCTAGAGGCCAGCTCGTGCCTTCTCCTCCCTGGGGCTCCACAAACACTCCCAGCGGTGACCCCGCAGGGACAAGTGCTGAGGAGGGCCACTGCTCAGGATACACTCTTAACCTTAACACCCTGAATTCCCCACACTGAGCACCTCCTCGTGTTGTCCACCTCCTCATGTGGAGAAAGGGCTTCTCTACCCACCTTCTATGGAATCAAGGAGTCCCTACAATGGTAAATTGGAAAGTTGAAAGCATCCCTGCCTCCTTCCCCGCCAGCTCCTCCAAGGAGAGCCGCTGAGGCTCTGGCCCAGCAGGAGATGCCCGTGTCTCCTGCACAGAAGGCAAAGGCCCTGCTGGGCAGAGTCTCCTCATCCTTGGGTTTGGCCCCACACTGTCTCTTCCTGGTCTTTGTTTAGCCTCTTTTATCTCACAACCTGGGGCGGCCCACATGCACTGCCTGGAGGCTGGAGGGGGAGCACGAACACACACGGTGTGTGATGTGTCTCCCTTTATCCTTCCATCCATCCTGGGGACGGAGCAGGAGGCTGGGTTCAGCGGGCAAGGACCAGTCTGCACGGGGAGGACGCAGACCTCTGCCGCCTTGGCCAGCTGGGCCAGAGAGCCTGGAACAGTCGCACCTTTGGGCTCACTGAGCTCTCCCGTCCTTGCTTGTTCCTAGCGGGGTCTCTAACTGAGACTTGGAGCATATGGAGGAGGCCGGCATTTAACTGTCCATTATCTACTCACTGGGACGGCACTCGCTGCTCATCCCACACCATCAGGCAAGTGTCTGGCTGAACAGATGGATGTCCCAGAGTCGTCACCGTGCCAATAGCCTAGGGCACTGGCAGGTGGGCAGAGGCGACCCGCACGGGCAAGGTGCTTGCAGGCGCCCCGAGCCCTTCCCAGCCCAAAGGGCAGTAATGGAGACCTCGTGGCTCTTCTGACACCCTGGGGAGAGCGGCTTCTTCCTCTCTGAAGGGCAGGTCACCCCCAAAACAGTGACTTCCCCAAAGGAGGAGACTGCATGTCAGATCTGTGAGAGCAGGAGGGCTGGACAACAGGAACAAGCCCCGCCCTGCCTCAGTGGCCAGGGCCCGCCTCATCTCTGAAATGACTGATGGACGTGGAGCGCAGTGGACAGAAGGGCCCAGAAGGTGGCGACAAAGGCCGATCGGTGTGACTGCTCGTGGCCGAGACAGAGCTGGTCCAGGTGACAAACTGCTCCAGGCAGCCCCAGAGCGTGGGGCCTGGAAACCTAGGTTCTGAGTGACTGCAATCTGCTGTTTTAACAAAAGAGGCATCAGGTGACCTCCACAAGACATTCAGAAATCAAGACCCCCAGGCCCCAGAACAGGCCCTGGCAGGGGTGAATCTCACAAAGGGGGGCAAGTCTGATCTGCACACTGGGCTTGGCGTCCCAGGTCAGCTACGGATTAGTTAACAATGTCCAGAGAAACCGAGGCCTTTATCATTTCACACACTAACCGTTGTATTAAAATTTTTTTAAAAAATATTTAGATACCCAGGCATGCAATGTAAAATAGCATTAAAGATGATTAAACTGAAATGCATATGAAGTGAGTGATTACATTCCCTAAAAATTCACGTGTCTTGCAAGGGATGTCAGAATTTACTTTAAGAACGTATAGCAGACGTCTGGCCAGGCCAGGCCAGCTTTCGAACGAGGGGAGACGCCGTATATGGGGGGTCATGGAACCACAGCCCCGGAAAATGAGGAGGAGACAGAACAGCTCTCCACACGTGAGTCAGGGAGGGAAGCTAACGGCCACCCTGGGCCACAGGCACCTGCCCCTGCCCCGTCAGCGTGTACACCCGGCCACCTGAATTCCATCCCTCAAAGCGAACTCTGCCAAGCGTGGCTGTGGAACTGATATGGCGTGAAACGCTGATGTGTCGTTTGCAGTTTTAACTTATTAGCTCCCTCTGGGTTGCTTTTTCTCTTTTAGGTAACAGTGCTTTTGACCTCTTGGGAGGAGAAAAACAGGCCAAAATTCACTAGTCAAAAATAAGCCCAAACTCCATTACTTGGTAAGAGGAATACACAGACTCTTAAGTTTTCATTGTGGTCATTCCAGCAGGCTCCTTTCTCTATAAATCTCTGTGAGGAACTTCACTCAAATTTCTTCTTCCTGGTTTTTTTCTTCCTGGCCACAGATGGACACGGCGAATGCCAAGTGGAAGCTGGAAGTGTGGACTCCACACCCCAGGTCAAGAATCTGACCCTGAACCCGGGAGGGCCTTAGACGGTACCCACTGCCACGGCCGCCCCCGGCCACGCACTCACCTCCTCTCCCGGGTGGATTTCCTGGACGGCTCTGACTTCTGCCAGGGTCCCCTTGTAGGTCACAATGACATTCGGGCAACAACTATGATTCATCAGGGCCACACTGTCAATCAGAAGAGAAAACCCAATTTCATCAGGAAGGCAGCCAGGCTGTTCAGGTAACCCCTTGGCTACTTAACTTGCTAAGTTACAGAAACTGGATCTTTGCAGAATGTTTAAAAAAGAAAAATCGAATAGTTGACCATCAGTCTAAGAGGCTGTTCTGCATGCATTCATAACGATACCATCTTACATTTTAACAATACTGAAAAGTGGAATCTGCAATTCAAAGTGGGATCTCAAAGCCAAAAGTAAAAAAACACCCCACCACACAACAATAAAAACAGCAGCAACAGCAAATTCCTTCCTGTTAGACGCATGTGTCAAAACTCAGCGCCTCCGGTGAACCTCGGCCACTGGACACTGTCCGAGACAAACGGGCTTCACTGCCAAGCAGCTTTTTATAACAGGACGATTTCTAACATGTTTTCTTCAGATGTTGAGAAATCGCCCCTGTGGTTGATGCCGGCTTCCTGATCCCCAGAGAAACCTGGAGGGGCCTGTCTGAGCCTCTGCACCTCAATTTCCTCATCTGGAAAATTGGGACATCGCCGCCCCTGCTGCTCGCGGCCTGCTTTACAGGGACGGCAAGGACAGAGGGTCGCCAACGTGAGGGCTTTGAGCTTTCGGATTATAGCAGGGTCAAAGTTCTGAGAGCAGAAATTTCTAAACTACCAGGGAAAAGTGCTTGATCTCTGAAAATGCTGCCTTTGAAATCACAATGATACGATTCCAGCCAAAGGGATTTCTCCCCCTAATTAAAACTGTCTGGAAACTGGGGCTCAGATGGGCACTCACATCCGTGGGTATCATGGCTCCGGGGGCCGGTGTCACTTGCCTGAACCCTTAACAACCAAAACCCCTCTCCTGTTTGCTCCACGAATACAAAAGAGCAAGAGGGCTGGAAAGCCTGATTTGGAGGCACTGCCCTGGCTTCATGGAGCGCAGGGAGAGCAGGTGCTGGAGGCCTGGGGGGACTGTGTGGCTGGCCCGGAACCGGGGAACACGCAGCCGCTTCCCTGACTTGTTTGTGGGGAGGGTCACTCCCACCCCTGCATCCCGACCCACCCGGCTTCCCTGCAAGTCATGCACAGGGAACCGGGCCCTAGGAAATCCGATGAACAAATGCTCTGGAAGTTGTCATTAATGGAAAAGCAGATTTCTAGAACCATCTTTCAGAAATTAAGTAACCCATTTCCAGACAGACTCCTCGCTATCTTTCTGATGAAGGTGGGGGGACTGCACGAAGGCAGAAGACCTACAACTCCGGTTCTTGGTACCTTGGCTCTCTTGGCAACCACTGGACAGGCTGAAACCTCAAATGCCACCACTCTGAGCCTTGCTTTCGGTCTTCCAGCTACTGAGAGCAGAGACATTATAGAGCTCATTCCAAGCCTGAAGGTGTCAATACAAGCCTTCTAAAGAGTGTCCAATAGCCTTTCTCTGTCCTTTTCCCAAGGGCAAAAGTCCAAAAGAGCTTCTCTTTCCTCACCACAGGATTTCAAACTGCAGATGACACCATTCTGACCACAGGGATAGTAATACTATGGGAACAAACTTCTTTTTCTGGTTCAAGAAAGCCTATGACAGCTGCATGACAGGAGATATGGACCAGAACAGATTTTCCTCTGCCTTTCGGACCCATACGATGCACAGAGCTGGGCGGCAACGGACAGACACATAGGGCTCATATGCCACCCATCCATCCACGGCAAACACACGGGTGTTACAGTTTCCTGCAACCGCTTCAACCTCGAGGCAGAGGCTCCTACATATTAAGCCAACATCCCTTTAGACGAAAATAATCTGCGACATGGACGAATTCAGATGGGGGATACAGGAAGGGCTCCTTGGCTCCCTCTGTGAAGCAAGAGCTTGATGTCTGGGACCGACGGATTTGGAGACTAACTCTTCCATCTGAGACAACGCAAAGCCATTCTCGACAACCACATTAAAGTCACAGCTATAACGATCTCCATTTATCAACCGGCTAGCCTTTCATGAGTTATCTGAGTCTTCCTAAGATAAACAAAAATCCTATTATTCTTTGCAATTCTTCCCTAGTTCACTACTTTAGCATATTTTCCCTCCAAACTGTGCTATATACTGGTATTTTTCAAAAAGGAAAGATGGAGAAGAAGCTCAGACAGTCTCTACATAAGTCAACAGCCAATTCTTGGTTGGCAATTAATGTTTTACTTTGAGTGTAAGAAACCCAAAGATTTCCAGATACGCAAAAAGCAAATTTCTCAGCAGGGCCTGGGCTGTTCTTTCCATGCATACTCTAAAATATTCTTTAATAACAGCTGTCTACCAGCAAGACTTAACAAGCAACTGTTCTCTTAACTGCTACCTTCAGATCCTTAAATGCAGGGGAAATATTTTGAAATCTGGCAGAATTAAAAAGCGGACTTAATTCACTTGGAGTTTCATGTCTGCCACATGCAGTTAGGGAGGTTATTTAAAAATCAAAAAAAAATTCAAATTAGTGTTAAATAAGTGAAAAGAAAAGAAGCCAAACTTAGCCTACTCAGGAAATATTGCTGATCCCAAATGAGAAAGTTCTTCATCTTCAATTGTGAAGCCATTACAGTTAACCTGCAGGGAGAAAAGGGGAGAGGGAAAAAAAAAATTGAGCCACAGTGTCTCTCTGGAGAGAAGTCATTTCTTTAATTTTGACCTTTAACAAATTAACTAGGAAGATGTTCCGGTCTAGTTATGTGAATGAATGCCTTTCTTTTGGCCAAGGTAGCCTATGTTCAAACACAATCTGAACACATGTAAACGTATATAAGCAGAACTGTCAGGGCTGGAGCACCCTTGGGCTAGCCCACCTGCCCACGGCGGCCCAGACCTCTAAGGCTCCAAGGACCAAAGTCTGCAGACCCACATGGGAGTCAGGACACCTGCACCCTAATCCCACTTCCACCTCAGATCTGGGGTGTGATCTTGTGCCCATCCCTGTGTCCCTCTGCCCTCGGTCTTATTCTATTAAGAAAGAAGTCCCTTAATCCAGTGAATATCTCATAAGGTGAGGTGGCAAATCTGAAAGCCTTTACACAGCTAATCTAACTGCAGGCCATCCCCTTGAGAGGCGGGGGTGGGGGGTGGGCAAGGCCCTGAAGCTAAGGGACTGAGAACTCCCTCCCACTCATGCCTCAGCCACATCAACCACTGGCCACTTGCTCATCTTTGAAGAGACGTATCACATGGAAAAACACCGAGGGTAGCTCTCACCATTCTGGAAGTCTAACTTAGAGCGGCAGGCTGAAAATGAGAACTACACACCCCCAATTTTAGGTTGTTTCAAAAATTCATTCTCTCCACAGGCTCTCACCGAAGAGCCCTCATATCCTGGGCACTGTGCACAGAAGGAGGAAGAGGCCAATGTTTGTAACCCCAGGAACATCCAGTCTATTGCGAGACAATACAGTGGGCGTCTAGCATTTATATCTAAAACTTCGCAGCTGGGAGGAGACTCTGTCTCTTTGGGTTTCAGATGATGGAACTGAGGTTGGAGCGGAGCAGTCACCCGTCCAAAGCCAGCGGCACAGGCTGGGAGCTCTGTTACTTCTTCCACAGCTAGCAGGCGAAAGATAACTTGTATTTACTTCACCTCTCTTGCTTCCTGCCCTCAGGCTGTCTGCAAAGCGTGCATGCTGAATGATTTCACCCCATTTCACCTCGTGGACTGCAACCCGGCTCTTCCACACCGAGCACACCGCACTCAGGCATTTCCGGCCAATGGATGGGCTTCTTAAAACGAGCACCCACTGAGCACTTACTCTGGGCTAGGTGCTGCATGTTTGCCCCTCGTAAATCTGCAATACTTCTCTGGCATGATCCATTTTACAGATGTGGAGGCTGAGGCTCAGGGAGGTCAATGATGAAGTAATTCGTCCAAGGCCATGTAAGTAGCAAGTGGCAGAAGAGGAGTCAGAATTCAAACTACATTGACAGCAAAGCCGTCCGAAACATGTTTCTTGACACTATGCTGTGTCTCTCCTAAACCTGTTCTGATCCCTGACTGTTAATGTGACAATTTTACTTAAAATTAAAGGGTCAATGTCAAAGACTTGGAAATCCTGGTACACAAAGAAGTCAAGGCCCTCATAGGTTTGACTTGCAGCTTTTACAAGTCCACATCTTTACATTTCACAAGTATTTACAGTTTTCAACATAAAAAGAGGTAGCTGTGGGTTACTAGCACAATATCCAGCCTTGGAAATCCTGAGAGGTTCGACATTTTTATGCAGGAGGCTTCGCATACTGTTTTTTGTGCTAGCTTGAGGTATTCTAACCTATTCTGTCATCAAGACATTAAACAACTATCATTAACCAAGGACCATCAACCAAGATTAGGTTAAGAGTAAATCAGGACTGTCATCCATTCAACAAAATGAACTGGCACATGAACTACACGTCCTGCACCTTACTGGGTACTGAATGATCTACAGCCAGCCTCAGATCAGATACTAACGCGCCTCGGCAGTGCCTGGTACCCTCAAGACAGCAAGTGTTTGCAAAATGAAAGAAGTTAGCCATTTTCAAAACTGATCTAGAGACGGACAGCTGCTGACTGGCTTTGAGGGATGGAGGTGGGAGACTTGCTTGGTCATCTCTCCCTCTGTGTGGTCCTCCACTGCGCCCACCCGTGACTCCAAATCCCTTCAAGCTTGAGAGTTCCGCGACCACTGGCTGCTCTATTCCCGCTGCCCATCCCCTCTAACTGTGGAGGAGAGAGCGTGCTTCTTCATAGCAAAGAAAGGTCCCGTAAGCACGAGTGGCATCACTGTTCCTTTCTGGAAGGTGGTGATGGTGTGGTTTCAGCCCAATTGCATAGCAATTTGCCCGCCAGCTTTCCCTCCTTTCTGAAACATCCCTAGAGAAGAAAAGTGAACTTGCGTGTTAGGAGAGGTACAGGGGCCGCAGTCCTTTTTTTCCCAAGTCAAATCAGGCGTAAGTGCCTTCCTGAAGCTATTCTCATAATTAGCATTTAGACTAGATGCAGGCTGCACACCAAAACACATTTCCCATCCATGCATATGTTCCCAGTGATTAAAATGCACCTCCGTGCTGTCGAAGGAGGGCAGTCACCTTCTGCCGCCAGCTGCTGCTGGGCCCCATGTTAACCCTCAACACCCGCCCGTGAACCAGAGGGAGGAGAGGGCTCAGAGGCTGGAGCAGCCGATGTGCTGCTGGGGCTGGGCGGCAGGGCCGGGGGGCGGCCCGGGGCCAGAACAGCACCTTTCACTCTTGCCGCAGAGTTCTCCTTGAGGGTACTGAACGTCCCTTTTCAAATTTATATATAAAAAAGATATATATGTGTGCATGTATGTGCATCTGTGTGCACACACACAATCTCAGAATGGATATTATGATTTGATAAATATGAAGTCTTTAAGAAATCAATTACCTGTAGTTGTGTGTGTGTGTGTGTGTGTGTGTGTGAATATACATATGCATGTGTGTGTACGTATTTATCTCCTGGATTTTCTGGGTCAGTCCAAATTTCAGAGACTCTGAGTCATTTTCACCACAAATACACTTCTGCTTGTGATATCAAGTGCCTTGATTTGGGGTTATGAAAATATGGGCCCATATTTACCATGTCAGCACTGAGAGGTCCTATCAGCGTGCACTGCTGTGTTGGAAAAAGTTACTTCTTCCACAGCTAGCAGGCGAAAGATAACTTGTATTTACTTCACCTCTCTTGCTTCCTCACGTAACCACCACTCATCTCATCCAGAAAAGAAGTCCTGCAACCAGTTTCTTTTGAAAAATGGAAGAGAAGTCAATTGAACTTTTTACCGTCACCCAAATTCACTGTGTCAGGACACTTAGGGAAGTACGTTGTAACCCCAGGACACTATAATGGGAATCAGTTTTCTTTTTCATTACTCTTGCTTTAACACTCATAACTTGAACCCATTTTTTTCTTTTACCAACAGAAGCATTCTTTTTTCTGATTATGGCAGTCGCACAGTAGAAATATGTCCATATGAACATAAAGTCCACCAAGGAATTCATCCAACTGCTGAGAGTGGTTCTCACTGTGGGTTGAAGTAGGTAGGAGGACGGATGAAGACTCACTTCTTTCTTGATTATGTGCAATTTTTTTGTTTGTTTGTTTGTTTTAGGGGGGAGGTAATTATTTATTTTTTAGAGGAGGTACTGGGGATTGAACTTAGGACCTCATGCATGCTAAGCATGTGCTCTACCACTTGAGCTACACCTTCCCCCTGATTATGTGCAATTTTTAAAGTGGGAGAACCATGGGTGCTTTTTATCTTTTCTTCTTATCAGTATTTTTTTAAACAATTTTTAAAAGTTTTGTTCATTGTTTTTGCAGGGGGAGGTGACCTTGTGCGTGCTAAGCATGAGCTCTACCACTTGAACTATACCCTCTCCCCTTGTTTCAGCATTTGCTTAAGTCATACATGCTCATTGCAGAAAACCCGGAAAAATCATTCAACATATGAAGCAAAAGTTTTCCACAACTCAGGAGATAACCAATAGTGAACTTCCACTGAAACAGTTTTTACATGTATAAATGTTCATATCACACACATTTTCCCCTTTTACATTTAATGTGATGTCATCAACGTTTTCCACATCTTTAGACATTCTTTGAAATATAACTCATACAAGCTATATTACCTTCCATCGTAAGACTATGCCAGAATTTATATACCAAACTCCTACTGCTGACCATTTATAGTATGTATTTCCTTTTCTTTTTCTTTTCTTTTTTCTTTTTTTTGGGGGGGGTAAAAAGAACCCTACAATAAACAATTTGCATGTCAGTCTCCATCCATAATCTCTGATTACTCCCTTAGGGTAGGTTCGTACAAATAGAATTACTGGGTAAAAGGGTACACAGGTGATGCTTATTCTGTTCTAAGACAACAACGTGGAAGTATCCACCCAAGGCCTTTTATCCATCTAGACACTGAAGGTTCTGGCAGGGAAGGTAGCTACTTGGTTGCACGGAGCAGTATTCCAGTATTTCTCTCTATGGGAAGGTCACCTTCAACTGTATGTTCAGCTTGTAGGGGAAAACACAAGGGTATGTTAGCGACAGGAATCTGATCTACGAAGTCACTCCAGGAAGAGTGATGCTCATGGTAACAGGAAGCCGGACGTAGCCAGACTGCCTTCAGCTGAAGGGTGCCGGCCGCACCGTCTTCTCCTGTCCCAGCCATGCCCACCCTGCTGTCAGTCTTTCCAAACGGCTGGCTGCCGATTCCTTATCACTTTTAAGTTTGCCTCCCTAATTTTTAATTTTTTCTAACTTTGGTAAACTGAGGCCTCTCTAAATAGGACTTCTTAGCAACCATCAGGAAAGACCTCGAGCACCGAGACTCTATGGGGACTGTCCTTCCAAGGGCCATCAGGGAGGGCCTCCCTCCTGGGGACATCTGCACTTGCCTCTGCTTTATCAACACAGTCTTGCCAGGAATCACAACAACAAAAAAACCCTACTACTGTCAGAAGGGATGGTTTCAGACATTTAATGTAGGAACCTCAAATGGTCTTTTCTATTCAAAGAGCTTCCAGTATGCCATGTCCTGGGGCACTGGCAACTCCTCATTCTCACAAACTCTTTCTGCAGCAAGCGGCAGAGGTAGGATGAATTTCCTATGCTCCAGTCATCAGTGAGGGCTGGCAGAGAGAGGACCTTGATCTGCTCAAGGTCACCCAGCAAGGTTATGTAAAACAGGGCCCAACAGGTCAAGAACCATGTCCCATTTATCTCCACTGAGTATGCTCTGGGGAGAGGGACTCAGGCAGGGAAAGGCTGGATGACACGTTACCTGATGCCCGAGGCCGGCATTCTCACCTGTGCAAAGAGTACAACCAGGCTATCATTGTCAGGGAATTCCAGGTGCTTGGAGTAAAAGTGATGGAGAGCAGCAATGTCACTCTGAATCAAATCCTTCTTCTCGTTGTCTAATTTATCCAGATCTGTGGGTAAACAAACCATTATTCACCAGGTAGGAAATTCTGGATTACTAGCTGTATCCTTTTTGGACTGTAAATGGTGTGGAGTGCAAGAAAAAAGTACGTGGAGCCCCCAGGAAATACTCTTCCTCCTCATCTGGTCTAACTGATAAACCCTAGAGCAAGAAAAGCACGCCGTGTCTTCCTTCTCTTCCTCTGACAACTGGAAGTCACTCAGGACATGGAATTTCAACTGACCATTAGCAGCGAGGTCAGGGATGAGTGGCAATGGCTGACAAACAGCCTCGGTCGAGTCCAGGGCTCCCCGATTGGCCCTGGAATCTCTGTCATGATCAAGAAGGTGGACAGTCCCTGATTTAATATCTTTCACTAAGGACATCAGCTGTTTGCAGCGCTGCAATTCAGCAAAGATCCAAAAATATTCAGCATGCCAGGAGAGCCAGCAGGAGACGGCTCGGGATGTAATAACTCATCCCACGAGTGCCGGCTTCCCCTTAATTATTTCCTAGCAATTCTGTCAACTCAGGGGAAAAAAAAACGTTATACGCCATTTTTCAAAACAGCACACAAGTCAAAGTAAAAACTGATAATTAGAAAATCCCCCACCACGGCTAAGAACACAGCTGCCTCTTCCTTCCTTCAGTCTGGTCTAATCCACATAAAAGGTGTGGCTGAGATGACCCGTCACTCAGTCCCAGAAAGACTTACGTGATTCGAACTCCTTCACGGCTAACAGTTTCTCTGAAGGTGTTCTCTCTGGGTGGATTTTCTAGTCATTGGGAAAGAAATCACATAGACACAGATTTAAACGACTTGTGCACAAAAGCAGTGCTTTCACTTTTACATCAACGCGAAGCAAAAGGCAACAATTCTCAATGAAGTGAAGACAGCAAGCCAAGGAGTTGCCATGTGGGCTGAGAGCGTCTGCCCAACATCCAAACTCGAGAGGGTCTTTTGAAAAGCTTTTTAAAGCATCTCCCGCGTCCCTATCACCCTTGGTAACGCCATGCACACAGTAGGCTCAAAAATGCCTGTTACGGGAAAGAACAGTGGCTAGAAAACAACTTTTTAGGGCCCTGACTTAAAAGCACCAAGTCTCCAGATGAACCATCCCATTTATTATTTCTCCTTCTAAAAAGGAACAAAATCAAACCCCCCATCCATTTTACACTTTCTTTAAGCATAGGCTAAAAGGATCTCAATTTCCGTGTTTCAAAAAGAACACTTTCGGTTGTACCCGTGAGCCCCGATTCACTTTAAACATGTGGCCGGCTTTGTTCTAGACACCCCGAGAGGGGCTGACAATAGTAAACCCGCTAGGCTTTGAGAACATGAATAAACTCGGTGTTGACAAGAGTTCAAACGCAGAGCTCAAGAGCTGGCCCAGGGCCGTGTCTTTGTGATCAGCTATTCAGTCTGGGGATACAGGTGGTCTAGCCAGTGCTCTCACCTGCCTAGTTATCACGTTCCGCTTCCCCTTGGTAGTTGGGTAGCCTGTCTCCCCCAACGCTTTGCAAGCGCCTAGAATACAAATGGTCTGTTTTTTTAATCATCAAGGCCTACAGAGATGAAAAGATGGCCAGGCAACTTTCCATTTAATAGACTATTAGTAGTAGGAGTAATTTTAATAAAAGTTGAATGAAACGGGTGTAAAGTCATCAGAGCCTTCCGACTACCCTCCTGGTGCCAAACCGTTTCCACACTTCCTTTTCTGGAGCAGAAGTCTTCCATTCACAGGATCCATTTCTATAAGATGCGTAAGTCATTTCTGCCTGGGAAGACTTTTCAGAGAAGTACACCGGCTTCTTCTGAGTTCTTAACCACAACACTTTCAATAACGTGAGGCAGTGGGGAGGGGGAGAACCAGCAGACTGGTCACCCCAATCCTCCCAAGATGCTTGCAGATGGAATCTGATGGCTCACCCCCCCACCTCCTCCCACCCTCTCCTTTCCGCCAAGATCTCGACATATACTTAAACATGACTGTTAGTGAAGACCCAAAAGTTAACCTCCTGCAGGGAGAACACTCCTGATTTTCCGGTCTCCCTCTCCAGGCACGCCTTGGCTGCCTCTGCTTATTACCCTGAGCTGGTGGAGTGGCATTTCAGCCAGCACCTGACCCAGGCCGAACAGAACAGAACAATGACCTCAGAGGTTGGAAATGTTCTCCTGTTTACCAGCCCGAGGCTCCTAACTGGGTCTGAGGATAGATATGAGCTAATCGTTGTGATCACATTCGGTTTAGATTAAAAAAACAAAGTTTTAAAGGGGGAGGGTGGGAGATGGTATAAAGAAGAGGCAGCAGCGGGAACTTCAGCTCTGAAAGATTTGCAGCGCAGAGGCACCTCCGGGGACACACCCCTTCTAAGCCCCCGGGGGCCCCCTTCACTGTGTCACAAGGACAAGTCCTGTGGCGTTCCCGCCCCCACCCCCCACCCCTCTTTAGTTCAGTCCTGCGGAGCTCAGGCATCTCATCGTCACCCAATCAGTAAGGACTGGACAAACAAGGGGAGAGGACGGCCAGCTCTGACTTCATCTTTGGAGGAAACTGTAATGGCTATCATCTGTTCCCGCCCCGCCCCTCTCCACCTGCCCCGATTTCCACTCCGCTCCTCCTCTCTCTCCCTGCACAGGCCAGTCTGGTGATGCACCCCATTCCTTGCCTGCCCAGGCAGGGCAGATAAGGGGACAGGGAGGGGCAGACACTGCCGAGGACGGGGGGAGGGGGAGTGCCCTGTGTCAGGAGGAAAGAGGGAAACATCGCAGCGTTTCAAGGCCAGGCTGGTTCCCTCTTACGCTCCAATTACTGTCAACCACGTGGCCATGCCTTGAAAGGCCGTATTTTTCTACACAGACCCATCTCATAAGAAGCTCAGAATTTAGGTAAGTAATATCCCAGCTGCACGGTGCACACAAACCAGCTGACGCCTGGGGTGCTGCTCTCGCCTGGGTCCACACAGGCATGACGGGAAATGGGGTCCCAGGACGCTGAGCAAGAAATGACCGCCACAGGTCAGGTACTCATCTTTCTGACCTTTAAGGAAAAAAATACAATGAAACACACTTGAACATGATCCCAATTCCTCACCTGTTTGGCCAGAATCCTTGCAGTGAGCCTTACAGTCTCTGAGGGATTCCAGTTTTCCCCAAAAACAACCATGGGAGAACATTCCAGCTTGTGCATGGGCCAATCTTCTTTCTGGGAAAGTTAGAAAAAAATTATTACACATGCACACGTGCACACACACACGCGCGCGCACACACACACACACAGCGTGCAATAAAGTTCGAGAAGAGAGGATGCAGTAAAGTCCTCCTAGTTAAGGTCAAGAGAAATACGTTTCCTTTTGGAAAACACGACAATGCTCACAAAACTCAGAGATGAGAACATCCCTTAAGATGGATGTGGCTGTATAACCTTGCCTTGGGCCTGGCCAAGGTCATGGGCATGAGGAAACCTGCGCTGTGCTGTTTCATGAAGCGCCGCGTACCTTTCTGCAGCCCCTCAGGATTCCTAACAGCACACACAGCTTTCCAGTACCTGGGGCCACTGTCAAGTCACTGGGGTGAGTGACGTGGGTATTAGCCACTGATCTGGCTCCGCTCCCCATGGCTCTGTCCTGGCTCTGCCCTCACATTAGGGCAAATAACTGAGACGTAGTGTCCACAGCACCTCGTCCCCTTTTATAGGTGATGCAAGAAAAACACAAATGAGGGCTTTGTCTAAGAGTCTGGCCAGGACAACTCTTGGGAATATTAAGGAATACAGGCTTCCTACAGATTCAGTGGATAAAACAGGAAAACTGCGTTCTTTTCCACCAATTGTGACACTTTTAGCCTCAGGTTGAGGTGTGAAGGGTACAAGCTCACGGCTGGAAGGGTGGGGATGCCGTCTTCGGGACGGGAAGGCCAAGGGAGGAGGCGCTCTGAGGGCGGGGGCAAAAACACGATGCCGGTGCGGGGGCACGTGAGTGAGCATGAGATGACTGGGCCCTGGCTGGACGTCAGGGCGATGTGATGGGGCGGAGAGGCTGCTGGGAGTGGACTCAGCGGGAGTCTGCAGACACTTTTTGTCACGATGGAATTGAGGGCCATCTTGTTTTCCCCTTGGCTCTTCTGACCTCAGAAAACGGCAAGTCTGTTCTTTCAGATGCTTAGGCCAGAGCCCCGGGGTCACTCTCGCTGCCCTCTTCCTCACGTTCATGTGCACCTCACCGCCGAGTCCGTCCCGTCTGCCTTCAGGACACGTCTAACATCTGACCACCGCCTGCCGCCCCCGCCTTCCCACTCAGCTGCAGACTCGACACCCCTCACTGTGACTACTCCCCTCGCTTCCCACCTGGACGCCTGCTTCTGCCCCGGCCCCCACGGACTGTGCTCTGGAGAGCAGCTGGAGTCGTCGATTCTGCCAAACAAAACTCAGATTCTGCCAGTTCTCAGATCAGAACCTTCTACTGGCTTCTCATCTCAGAGCGAAAGGCAAAGTCTTTTATAGATGACCTACGAGGCCACACAAGGTAAGGGCCCCTCCACTCCTGAGCTCATCACCCACCACTGTCGCCCCCTCAGCTCACTCTACGCAGGCCACAGAGTCTTCCTGCTGCTCCTGGGACAGACCACGCTTGCTCCTGCCTCGAGACCTTTGGCACCTGCTGCATGTCCTGGCTCCACGCCTCTTCCCCTAGATCTCCACCTAGCTCCCTCCCTCCCTCCACATCTCTGCTCAAATGTCCCCTTTTCAAGATACCTGCCATGAACATCCTACCAAAACCAGCACTCTCCATCACCCTCCCTTTCCTTGCTTTATGTCTTCTTAGTACTTCTCACCACCTGACATAATTACACATTGATTGGTTTTTTGGTGTAATGTCTCTCCCCCACCCACCTAAAATAAAGGAAGTTATTAGTCTGTTTTGTTTACACCTATTACCCCAGAGCCTAGAACAGTGCCTGACATTTACTAGGCACTCTACAAAGTTGCTGACTGAAGATGTCTCCCTCCCCCCGCCCCAATTCCAAGAAGGAAGGACATGACATCACTTAATGATTTAACACAGTCCGAGGCTCAGACCCTTGGCTCAAGTTCTGTGCCAAGATGTTCTGCAGAGTTAAATAACACCGTGCCGAATATAACTAAGAGCAGGGAGAGAAAGAAACGACAAGATATGCACAAGGGAGAAGAGGATCTGTTTTTAGCCAAAGCCTGAATTGAGAGCACGGTGATGAGGCAACGACTTAGGAACAGGTGGGTCCAGCTCCCGACAGACAAACTCGCTCCCTCCCCACATGCAAAGCAAAAAGGGAAGGACAAAGAGGGCTTCCGGCCATGGGATACCCAAGGGGAAGTGAGGGCCACCAGCTGTGGACAGATGGGTAATTGACAGCTATGAACACATGTCCATTATCAGCCCAGGAAAGCTAAGACCACGCCTTTGCAGGACCATGACGATGCTAGTTTTCTGAACTGAAGGTGGTGTGTTAGGTGTTTAACAATGAGCTCCTGGGAGAGAGAAGTTTAATATTAACATTTCTTAATATGATTTATGCATTATCAATAGAATAATTTATTAATAGAATACTGAATTAATATGAGTATAAGTAACACACAATGTTGAATTACTTGATGTTAATGTCCTCAAAGAGCAGGGAACCTAACTACAGGGAGTGCTCTGGGAGGAGGGCAGAGCGCTGCCAAGTAAGAGGACGCTGGTCTGGGGCTGGGGAAACCTGCATTCTTACCCTCTGCTCTGCAGTCAAGCAGCTATGTGACACCAGGCAGGCTTCTTAATCCCTCTGCATCTGTATCCTTGGCTGTCAATAACATGATCCCTGAGTTACTTAGCAGGTCCAGAGTTCTGAGTCTATCATTTTATGCCTGCCAACAGTGATAATCAGACATAAAGCTTGCAGACTAGCAACAAATGTAGGACCTTCAAATGGGATAACCAGGCATTCACGCAACCACAAAAGGTCGTTGTGAGGATTCAATAAACAAGCTAACCCACGAGAAGCACTCAGACCAGTGCCTGGCACACAGGGAGCTCTCAACAAAAGCTGGTTAATTGTTCACTGACTGGTTCCTTCATTCATTCCAAAAGCCCTCGACCGACCTTAGAGGCAGGGATGGGAGGTAGAGTCTCTCACTTCAAGTAGTTTATGACTTACATCAGAACACCAGGTAGAAGTAAGAGCACCTAGAATGTAACACAGGCCCACACAGAGCAGTTAAATCAGAGAGCTGGATAAATTAAAGGAAGCACAGAATCATGTTAAGTTTCATCAGGGGAAATTTACCAGATAAATAAGAAGTCTTCACTTTGTCGGCAGGGGGAAATGACAGAGATGTACCATAACGGCACTACTACTCAGCTTTAATTCTTATATAAAAAAAAAGGCAGGAGGAGAATAGCACCTGGTAGAAAATGTCAGGTTCTGAACATATCTTAACATACCTTCTTCTGGACCACGAGCTCACCTCTCTTCGAGACTACAAGAAAACCACAACTGACTGCTAAACAACCATCGGACACAAAGACTGGAACCTAGCAAGAAAGCCCTTCTTCACCTGGAACCATAAAGAGGGAACCGAGGGGGACGGTGGGAAGGGTGTGCTCATGATACAATCAGGCACATACACCCCTCGGTGGGCGACCCATAAGCTGAAGAATAATTAAGTCACAGAGGCCCTCCCATGGAAGTGAGGGCTCTGAGCCCCACATCAGGCTCCCCAGCCCAAGGTTCTGGCATTGGGAGGAGAAGGAGACCCCAGGACACCTGGTTTTGAAGGCCAGTGGGGCTTGGCTCCAGGAGCCCCCCAGGACTGGGGGAAACAGACTTCATTCTCTCGGGAAGTGTACACAGAATTTCGCACATGCCAGGTCCAACAGCAGAGGCAGTGATTTCACAGGAACCTGGACAAACCTGCCTGCTGGTTTTGGAGGGTCTCCTGAGGAGGGAGGGAATGGCTGTGGCTCACCCTGGGCACATAAAAATTGTTGGCAGACATTCCAGGAGTGTTCATCTACAGGAGGTTTCCTGGAGGCTGACATCTAGATTGGATCATTAGCACCAAGACCCAGCTCCACCCAGCAGCCTGTAGGCTTAAGTGCTGGGAAGCCTCAGGCCAAACAGCATACTGGGTGGGAACACAGTCCCACCCATCAGCAGACTTCCTGAGCCATAAACGCCTCTAAACACAGCCCCACCCACCAGGCCAAGCTTCACGCAGCAGTGGGCAGGCACTGACTCCTCCTGGCAGGAAACCTGCATAAGCCTCTAAGTCCAGCCTCATCCACCAGGGGGCAGATACCAGAAATAAGAAATCAACAACCCCAAAGCTTGTGGAAGGAATCCACAAACAGAGGCCAGACTCTACACTGGGACCAGCTGGACCCTGGCCCTTGGGTGACAAGAGAGGAGGGTACTGCTGGGACACCTAGGACGTCTCCCACAGAAGGCTGCCCTCCGAGGTCGAGAAAGTAACTAACCTACCTAAAAATACACACAGAAAGACAGACAGTATGAGGAGGCAGAGGAATATCTCCCAGGCCAAGGCACAAGATGAAATCCCAGAAGTAGTAAGTGATGAGGAGATAGGCAATTCATCTGAGAAAGAGTTTAGAGTAAGGAGCACAGATGCACAGAGTGAAGTTTTCAGCAGATTTGGCAAATATAGAGAACACCCAAACGGAGTTGAAGAGTAAAATTACTGAAATGAATAACACACTGGAAGGAACCAAGAATAGACCAAATGAGGCAGAAGAATGGATCAGTGAGCAAGAAGACAGATTAGTGGAAATCACTACTGCAGAACGAAGAAAAAAGAATGAAAAGAAATGAGAATATTTTAAGAGAACTCTGGGACAACATGAAGCACACTAATATTCACATTATAGGGGTCCCAGAAAGCGAGAAGAGAGAAAAAGAGAGAAAATTTTTGAAGAGATAATAACCAAAAACTTCCCCAACTTGCTAAAGGAAACAGTCACGCAAGTCCAGGAAGTGCAGAAGAGTTCCACACAGGATCATTCCAAAGAGGAACACACCAAAGCACAGAGTAACAAATTGACAAAAATTAAGGATAAGGAGAAAATTTTAAAATCAGCAAGAGAAAAGCAACAAGTAACATACAAGGGAACTCCCATAAAGTTATCAGCTAATTTTTCAGCAGAAACTTGACAGGCCAGAAGGGAGTGGCAT